GTCTCTGTTGCTGCGCATGGGCTTTCTCCAGTTGTGGCGAGCGGGGGCTGCTCTTTGTTGCAGTGCGTGAGCTTCTCATTGCGGTGGCTTCTCCTGTTGCAGAGCATGGGCTCTGGGCTCGTGGGCTTCAGTAGTTGTGGCTTGTGGGCTCTAGAGCGCAAGCTCAGTAGTTGCGGTGCACTGGCTTAGTTGCTCCGCGGCAAGTGGGATCTTCCTGGACCAGGGCTTGAACCCATGTCCCCTGCATTGGCAGGCTGATTCTTAACCAGGGAAGTCCCTATCCTGGATTCTAGCCATGGAATTTTAGAAAGGCCTAACTTACCTTGTTAGAAAAAAAGAAATGGAGCAATCCTCACAGAAAGCAATATTGTTAAAGGTAGAAAACTGTACTTACAGTTTACTATCACTTGTGTAAAACAGAAAAAAAAGAACAGAGGGAAGAATAGGTAAACTCTGGGTTGTATGTGCATGAGATAGCTCTGAAAGGATCTTTTCACTAAATGTCCTTTTAAATTTTTTGGAATTCAAAACCATGTAAAGTATTGCCTATTTTCAATACAAATCAAAATTTTTGCCATTACAAAAGTAATTTGCTCTGTCAATATCATTCTAATTAGGCACATCTATGCTGCCTGTGTGTACATAATAGAAGTTTTGTTAGACATACAGAAACTTGGGAGCTGACAGAGGCTTTGAGGATTACCTACTGAGTTCAACTTCCCCAACTTACAAATGAGAACAAATGAGATTCAAAAGGGGTAGCCATCTAGTCCAGGATTATGTCTTTGAGAAGCACTAGGCTGCAGTGCAGTTTCTCAAACTTTGGGCAATCACATGGCAACCTTACAATTTCTGCCATAGCTGAACTATTATTTACTATATAATTTTCTTTAAAGTGACTCAGCTTTTTAATTTTTTTTAAAAAATTATTTATTTATTTATTGGCTGCGTTGGGTCTTCACTGCTGTGTGCAGGCTTTCTCTAGTTGCTGCAAGTGGGGGCCACTCTTTGTTGCGGTGTACGGGCTTCTCATTGCGGTGGCTTCTCTTGTTGCGGAGCACGGGCTCTAGGCACGTGGGCTTCAGTAGCTCAATCACATGGGCTCAGTAGTTGTGGCTCGAGGGCTCTTGAGTGCAAGCTCAGTATTGTGGCACACAGGCTTAGGTGCTCCGCAGCATGTGGGATCTTCCCAGACCAGGGATATCGAACCTGTGTTCCCTGCATTGGCAGGCAGATTCTTAACCACTGGGCCACCAGGGAAGTCCAGCTTTTTAATTTAATAAGCTATAATGTTCACAAAATTAAAGGGTTGGTGTGCCAGTTATCATTTTTCAAATACACTTTGAAATAAAAAATTTTATTGATTTTTTATTTGCATTTAATTTTTGAGAAAAATTTTTGAGAAATGTTTTTGTCTACCTAAAATTATCTCATGAACCTCAATTTTGGAAATGTTGCATAATGCAGAGAGTAATTTAATCGGCATACAAGGAGACCTGGGTGTCCACTTTTGTCTCCCAGTGACTGGTTTTTATTATTGAGCAAGTTCTTTAACCTCTCCTGAACTCGGTTTCCTCATCTCTAAATGAGAGGGCTAGACTAATGACAAAGGGGCAGACTCAAGTTTCCTGACTGCAGGGTTCAGTGGTGGTCTACAGTTACTCCAGGTTTGCTACAGTCAACAGGTTCCCATATATTTCCAGTGTCTTTATCGCATCTGCTGGGATGATTTTAAACTTTAGCTATAAAATACAGCCATGGGTTATATAATACAGCATCATCATGAAATGGTGGTTGGAAAGTAAATTGGCACCATCCTTCCTTAGCATATCTGATGATACTGTATTTATAGAAATTCATCACTAGGGAATTTATTTGAAGCAAATAAGTAGAGATGCTGCCAAATGTTCGTGTACAAGGATACTCATAACAGTATTAATTATAACAAAGAATGGTTAACCACGTAAGTGTATAATAATAGGAAAATGTTTCAATTAACAATTGTGCAATCTTGATGAAACTAAAAGACTGCTTAGTGATGTGTGAACATGCTCACATAAGTGTGAAAAAAAGGTATCTAAGCAATCATTTAGACTATAACAAGTCTGCAAAGACATACAAATGCAACAGAGAAAAAAAGAGAGGGACTTCCCTGGTGGTCCAATGGTAAATCTGCCTTCCAATGCAGGGGATACCGGTTCAATCCCGGTCAGGGAAATAAGATACCACATGCCACGGGGCAACTAAGCCTGCACACCACAACTACTGAGCTCGCATGCCCTAGAGCCTGCGCACCGCAACTAGAGAAGAGAAAACCCGCACGCCACAACTAGACAGAAGTCCGCGCACCCCAAGGAAGAGCCTGTGTTGCAACGAAAGATCCTGCATGCCTCAACGAAGATCCTGTGCGCCGCAACTAAGACCCAACACAGACAAAAGTAATAAATAACATAAATAAATATACATTAAAAAAAAAAAAGAAACGAAAAAGGAGAAAGAAAAAAAAGAATGTAAGAAAAAGCACCAAAAGGTTAATTATAATTGTCTCTGGGTGGTAGAACTATACAGGACTTCAATTTTCTTTTTAAAACTCCCATGAAGTGTTTTCCTTCCTTTATAGTAAATATACTTTACTCTTGGTATCAAAAAACATTAAGCAGTATTTTTTAAATAAAAGGTTACACCTCTCCTTTGGCTCTGATCCTGGGGGAAATATCCAATCCATTCACAAATATTTTTTGAGAATATATTCTTAGTCCTGAGATACAGAACATCTGTAATAACAACCTCATGACACCTCCCTCAGCTCCATTTTCTGTTTTCTTTGTTAAAGAATTGCCTGTAGAGACTCCAGAAAGCAGGCGTCTAAGGCAGGCTGCACATCTTTCCCAGTGATCCTCTCCTCCCTCCCTCTAGCCTCTCTTTTCATGCTGTGGAGTCAGGAAGAGGACGGCGGGCTTGTCATGGGATGTTAAGGATAAACAAAGAGGGTTGTTTCTTAATTTAAAATAAAAGTTTACTTAATTTGCTTTAAATTTAATTTTTTTCAATGTTTTGTGTTTTCCCAAGTTAACATATCTTTAACTCTTCACTGAAGGTGTTCTCTAACACGCAATTATGCCTCACTGCTGAGTTATTTTTCAGAGAATCGCTTAAGTATTCTTTACTCCTTCCCACTCTGAATAACCTTGCCCCGAGCAGGTGCAGTACCGGGGATTGTTTATTGTTACCTAATGCAAGCTGTTGCATCAAGAACACTACAAAGTGAGCCAAACAGTTTAACCTTCTGAAGTTTCATACTTTATGATTTTTTTAAAGATCAATGTTAGGAGAAAAATAAAAGTAGTAATTCACCAGATTAGGTGATAAACCAAAGAACTCCACAAGACAAGCTAAAAACAGTTTTTTCATTTGAATGTCAGTATTCTGAAACAAACCAAAAAAACCCACCTAGAAATAACCTATATAACCCATCAATAGGGGATCGGTTAAATAAACCACGGCAGATCCAGCAAATAGACACCTATACAAATGTTAAATAATGAAATGGATTTCTGTGTTTTCGTGTGGAAAAATATCCTAGATATAGTGAAAACACACTGGTGCAGAGCACATATTTAGTAGGATTACATATTGCATATAAAACATGGGATATACATATACCCTGTATGTGCTTATACACAAATACAGATTTCTAAAAGCAAGCACATGACACTGCTCCCCTCTGAAGAATGAGACTGAGGCAGGGAATGAGAGAGCGTTTTACTTTTAATATTATGTACTTCCATCCTGTTTCCAATCCTTTTTTACCTTGTGCAAGGGGTTAGTCCTAATTTTTAAAAGGAGCTTCAAAATGACTTTGTTCTGGAAAGTAAAAGTCAACACTTTTGAGAGAAAAAAAAAAACTCATCTTGCTGTTACTTTTGGAAAACAGCTTTCTTAAGATATAATTTACATAAAATCCACCCATTGTAAAGTGTACAGTTTGTTGACTCGATTTCGTGCTGAGTTGCAAGAATTTTTTTGGCATGAGAAACAAAACAATCTTTCAGATAACCATGCACAAGAACAGCTTTCGTGTCTAAAGATCTAAGCCAATTTTGCGACAGCAAGGAGGGTAAATAATATTGGCCTTCAGATTATGGGGGAAGGGTCAAAACCAGAAAATTCCATAGCGTTTAACAAACAAACAAAAAGTTAAAAAAGAAGGGCGGGAGGGGTGGGCAAATAAAAGAAAAGAAAAACAAAAAGTTAAAAAAGAAAGCGCTGGGCTTCCCTGGTGGTGCAGTGGTTAAGAATCCACCTGCCAATGCAGGGGACAGGGGTTCAAGCCCTGGTCCGGGAAGACCCCACATCCCGCAGAGCAACTGAGCCTGCGCTCTAGAGCCCGCTCGCCACAACTACTGAGCCCACACGCTGCAACTACTGAAGCTCGCTCACCTAGAGCCGGTGCTCCACAAGAGAAGCCACTGCAATGAGGAGCCTGAGCACGGCAACAAAGAGTAGTCCAGCTCGCCACAACTAGAGAAAACCAGTGCGCAGCAACTAAGACCCAACAGAACCAAAAATTAATAAATAAATTTATAAAACAAAAAAGAAAAGAAAGAGAGCTCTAACAGTTCTCCAAGCGCAAGGGCTGGCAGAGAATAAGCCACACACAGATCATGGACCCTTAGGAGCAGCTGCGACTGGGGCTGGACATACCTCTCAAAGCCATGTGGTTTTCTTTAATCTTTGAGCTTCGAATGTGTCCTAACTTCCTAGTGCCTTCCCTCAATAACCCACCTGAAGCTATCCACAGAGGCCAGAGGTTTCCGGGAACAGTATCTCAGCAGCTCGAGGACTTCCCCACCCCCCACCCCGGGCGGCAACTGGGAGATGCTGCGCCCGCACCCCTGGACCCATATTCCTGGGACCCACTTCCCGAGCCCCGGTCCCTCCGCCCACAAATCCCCACCGGGACGACAGCGCACAGACACTCCTCCCGCCCGGGCTCCCACCTGTGCCCCGAAGCATATTGTCTCGGAGCAGGTCCCCGCTGGAGAGGTGCTTCAGCTCGAAGTGTTTGGTGATGCGCGAGGACACGGTGCCCTTGCCGGAGCCCGGCGCCCCCATGATAGCTGCGCGCACTAGCCGCGCAGACGCCCCCATGGCCGCCGAGAGAGGCTGGGGACGGAGTGTGGGGCTTCGGCCTGGCTGCGCTCTCACCCGCTCCGCAGGCCGGGGCCGGCCGGCTGGCAGCGCTGCAAGAAAGATACGGCCTCCGCGCCCAGGCGCTCCCGGAAGTGAGGCGACAGCCTCCAGGCCAGCCCCACCTACGCCCCGCCGGGCTGCCGCGCCCGCCCCTGGCGACCCGGGAACCCCCCCCCCCCCCCCCCCCAGTATCCAGTCCATCACCAGCTACTGCCCATGTTCTCTTACCATCTCTCCAACACCCTACTCCAGATACCATCACCTCCTGCCTAGGCTTTTATAAAAGCATCCTGTCTGGTCTCCTGGCAATGTCTCAGGGGATTCCCTCCAATCTTTTCACCACACAGCAGCCAGAGTGGTCCACATCAAACTGCCGATCTGATTGTGACACCTCCTTGTTTGAAACACTGAAGGCTTCCCATTGCTCTTTGGATTAAGACCCAAAAGCTTAACACAGCCTGCAAGGCCACATGTTCCGGACCCTGGCAATTCTCCAGCCTCTCGTAAAGCCCTTGCCCACCCCCGTCTCTGCACTCTAGTCACCATTGCTCTATTTTTCAGTTCTTCAAATCCACTGAGCTCCCTCCCACCCCAGGGCCTTTGCATATGCTGTTCCTCTGCCTGGACTCTTTTCCTTCTGTTTCCATTCCCTTCACCTAGTTGACTCCTACTCATCCTTTAGATATATCAATAACTTCAGAGGTCACCACTTCAGGGAAACGTTACATGACCCCAGCATCTCGGTCAAGTTCTATGGTAAACCCTATCAAAGAGCCATGTTTCTTTCCTCACGAAACTTAGTTCAGCACATAATTTCCCTGCTTATCCATGCAATGACCTGATGAATGTCTGTCTCTCTGAGTTGATTCTGTGCCCACCAGGTGGGACCATATCTGTGCTTGTTTACCAGCCCCTAGCATAGGCCGAGCTCTTAGAGGGGGTCAGTGGTTAAGAATCCACCTGCCAATGCAGGGGACAGGGGTTCAAGCCCTGGTCCGGGAAGACCCCACATCCCGCAGAGCAACTGAGCCTGCGCTCTAGAGCCCGCTCGCCACAACTACTGAGCCCACACGCTGCAACTACTGAAGCTCGCTCACCTAGAGCCGGTGCTCCACAAGAGAAGCCACTGCAATGAGGAGCCTGAGCACGGCAACAAAGAGTAGTCCAGCTCGCCACAACTAGAGAAAACCAGTGCGCAGCAACTAAGACCCAACAGAACCAAAAATTAATAAATAAATTTATAAAACAAAAAAGAAAAGAAAGAGAGCTCTAACAGTTCTCCAAGCGCAAGGGCTGGCAGAGAATAAGCCACACACAGATCATGGACCCTTAGGAGCAGCTGCGACTGGGGCTGGACATACCTCTCAAAGCCATGTGGTTTTCTTTAATCTTTGAGCTTCGAATGTGTCCTAACTTCCTAGTGCCTTCCCTCAATAACCCACCTGAAGCTATCCACAGAGGCCAGAGGTTTCCGGGAACAGTATCTCAGCAGCTCGAGGACTTCCCCACCCCCCACCCCGGGCGGCAACTGGGAGATGCTGCGCCCGCACCCCTGGACCCATATTCCTGGGACCCACTTCCCGAGCCCCGGTCCCTCCGCCCACAAATCCCCACCGGGACGACAGCGCACAGACACTCCTCCCGCCCGGGCTCCCACCTGTGCCCCGAAGCATATTGTCTCGGAGCAGGTCCCCGCTGGAGAGGTGCTTCAGCTCGAAGTGTTTGGTGATGCGCGAGGACACGGTGCCCTTGCCGGAGCCCGGCGCCCCCATGATAGCTGCGCGCACTAGCCGCGCAGACGCCCCCATGGCCGCCGAGAGAGGCTGGGGACGGAGTGTGGGGCTTCGGCCTGGCTGCGCTCTCACCCGCTCCGCAGGCCGGGGCCGGCCGGCTGGCAGCGCTGCAAGAAAGATACGGCCTCCGCGCCCAGGCGCTCCCGGAAGTGAGGCGACAGCCTCCAGGCCAGCCCCACCTACGCCCCGCCGGGCTGCCGCGCCCGCCCCTGGCGACCCGGGAACCCCCCCCCCCCCCCCCCCCACTCCCCCCGCATCCCCTTTGCTTTCCTCCGCCTCTGGGGGCCCTCCTCCTTGACTCTTGAATGCCCCCCACTTCCCTCAGATCCACACCTCGCACCTGTCAGTGTCCCGCCCCGTCCTGCCCAGTCCCAGGGGATCGACCGCGCCCGCCCGGGGCCTCTCCCAACCCCAGCGCCGTCCTCCGCGCGGCTCCCACTTGCTGCCGCCTCGCCACCACCCGTGCCCCTCGGCTCCCTGTGTCGTCAGAGGGCCGCCTCTCCTCCTCCCAAGCCCGCAGTTCCCTCCCCTCTCCTCTGCTGCCGAGCGACTTTTCCTGCTCCCTCGCGTTCTCACGCAGGCCGGTAAGGTACGTTTGTCTAGGTAGAGTCCCAGTGGGTGGCAATGAACCAAAAGGGCCTTCCTCCTCGTTTCACAGAAGAGGAATCCCAGTTGAAAATGAGTGAGGCGCTCTAAGTCACAGGTCTGTTGAGGGGTGTCTCTTACTTCCCAGGATAACACTTTCGGATTCAAAAGGAACTGTTGCTTTTACGCAGCCGAGTACTGGCTCCTCCTCAGGCTCCACTGTTTGCGTGGATGCCATAAATATTTATTCAGTAAAATTCCTGCTCCTTGGATTTGAACGTCTAGTGGTGGAAGCAGGTCATAACAAGGAAACAGATAAATGAGCAAGGTAATTTGAGATAGTACAATGAACAAAATAAAATGCAATGTGTAGAGGGAGGCTGTCTTAGATTGGGTGGTCAGTAAAGCTTTGAAGAAATGGCATTTGCTCTTAGCACTGAATGGGAAGGTGGAGGGAGAGGGACAAAGTCAAGGGGAAGAGGCTCTAACGTGGCATGTTTGTCATGTTCCAGGAATAGAAACACAAAACAAAAATTTCCTACCTATTTCCTCTGTAAAATGGGCATGGAAGACTAGTATGGAGTTGTTAAAATAATGTGTGTAATGCCAGCTACAGGCTAAGTGTTCAATATTACATTAAAGTCATCCACTATTATTATCGTTTCTTAGTGGAAGGTCACTATGCTAAGGCAGAGAGAAGGCTCTGTGAAAATAAACACAGTTCCATCCTCCTCAGAAGTTGCCGAATGAGTGGCCCCAAACTGCTTTCAATTTAAAAGACAGAAATTATTTCAGAGTGAGGTGGTAAGGGAAATCTTGCTCCCCAGTGAATCTGAGCGGGGTGAGTGGATGGGGGTATTTAATAGGTAGACAGTGCTGTACTTGGAAAGAAATTTAGTAGCTCGTACGTATTTATAACTAAGAAAGAAAGAATGAAAATTAATGAATTAAGCATTCAACTCATATAGTTAGAAAAAAGACATCAAAATAACCCATGGAGAGCAGAGGAAGGGATTAAGTAAAGAAAAAGAACATAAATGAAAGGATCAGAGAACTTAAGAAACAGAACTAACAAAAGAATGAAAAGGTCTGGACAAATACAAGTTACGAAACACTAGAGAACTAGGTGCATAGAGAGTCCTTCTAATCTCCAAAGCTGGGAACATTTGAGGGTTTAGCTGCAAAAGAAACCTGAAAGAAAATCCTGGGGATATTTGGCTTAGAAAGAAAACAAACAAAATAGCGGAGGAATCATCCCATCACTGGGGAGGAAAAGCTGAGTGTTGTGGTCACATCACCAGGCCCCACAAAATGCCAACTAACTGCAGCTTTGCTAAAGTTTGTGGATTATGAATGAGGAATGAATAAGTAACTGCCAAACTGAGAAATCTCCTGGCAGCTGGGCTTAGCACAGTCATTTGGCCATGCACACACATTTGTATGGGCTGGTTCTTCACCCTTGAACTTGCCCCGGTGGTAAAGACACTGAGCTCAAATAATACATTAATACAACAGAAAGTGTGAGTCAAAAAGAGATTTAAAAATGCTTGTATGTTGGGGCTTGCCCTCTAGGACTCCTGAAGAGGCCAGATCCAAAGAAGTCTGAGAGAAGACCACGTGGAGAGAGGGCCAGCGATCTGAGTCGGTCCAGCCATTCCAGCTGAGCTGCCAGTTGTAGCCACAGGACTGAACCCAGGTGTAGGTGGATTAGAGAGTGGAGAAAGAATTTCTCCCTGAGCTACTAGAAAAATAGAATTGTCATTACCTGAGATTGGAAAAACTGTAGGAGAAACAGGTTTGGGGAGAATATCAGTGTTGTTTTGGGTAAGTTAAGTTGGAGATGCCTTTGGGACATCCACAGGAATTGATAAGGAAGCAGTTAGATGTACAAATTTTGACTACATAGTAGAGGTCCAGGCTGGAGATATAAAATCTGGGAGTTGTTGATATATTTAAATTCATGAGCTAGAACAAAGTCACTTAGGGAGTGAATTTAGATGAGAGGAGAAGAGGTCTGAAATCTGAGTTCTGGGGTTCGCCAGAATTTTGGGATGAGGAGGAAACACTGAAGGAGCCTTAGAGGAGAGGCAAGTTAATTAGGAAGAAAACAGGTGAGTGCAGTATCTTGGAAGTCGATGGAATGTGTTTCAAGAAGGAGGGAGTGATTAAATGAGTCAGATTCTGCTGATAGGACTGAGAACTGACTGAAATTATTTCTAAGCGTTAAAAAAAAAAAAAAGATTATTTTTCATTTACAGTGCATAGATGAAAATATCAGAGGATAGTTTTGCCAAGAATCCCATAGCTATTCAACAACTGAATTAGTAATTTCAAAACATGTTAGGTGAAATATAGAAAATGCTTTCTCTGAGAGGGAATTCTGTGAGTAGAATTCAAACTGTCCAGAACAAGGATATTAGAGAAAAAAGAAAGAGAAGATCTAGACAAAAGTAGGGGAAGAGAAAAGAGGAGGCACAAAGAAATGAAAATAAAGGGCTCTATTTAACAGCCCTTGAAAGGGCCGTATGAAAAGATGTTAAATCATACTTATGACAAAGGAAATGCAAATTAAAACTATAG